TGCCCCTGCCCCCCTCTCACTGTAGGGGGTGATGATCTGCCCCCCCACACACCCCTTCCCTCCTCTCTCCCCTTCCACTACATAGGACTAACATCTGATGGCAGCTGTATCGTATATTAAATCAGTATCAGCTGATATAGCTCTTTAAATATGGGCTATCAGTATCAGCCCCTCAAATCTCTATCGGTGCACCCCTAATATAAACAGGACTGTATCTAACAACAACATACCTATGCAGGCATACCTCGTTTTATTGCGCTTCGCTTTACTGTGCTTCGCAGATATTGCGTTTTTTACAAATTGAAGGTTTGTGGCAACCCTGTGTCGAGCAAGTCTATCAGCGCCATTTTTCCATCGGCGCCATTTTTCCAACAGCATTTGCTTACTTCGTGTCTCTGTGTCACATTTTGGTAATTCTCGCAATATTTCAAACTTTTTCATTATTATTATATTTGTTATGGTGATCTGTGATCTTTGATGTTACTATCGTAATTGTTTTGGGCCGCCACGAACTGCACCCATATAAGACAGCGAACTTAATCAATAAATGTTGTGTGTGTTCTGACTGCTCCACCAACCGGCCGTTCCCCCGTCTCTCTCCCTCTCCTCGGGCCTCCCTATTCCCTGAGACAACAATATTGAAATTAGACCAATTAATAACCCTACAATGGCCTCTAAGTGTTCAAGTGAAAGGAAGAGTCAATCGATGTGGCAAACTTCATTGTTGTCTTAAGAAATTGCCACAGCCACCCCAACCTTCAGCAACCACCACCCTGATCAGTCAGCAGCCATCAACATCGAGGCAAGACCCTCCACCAGCAAAAAGATTACAACTCGCTGAAGGCTCAGATGATGGTTAGCATTTTTTAGCAATAAAGTATTTTTTTACTTAAGGTATGTACATTGTTTTTTTTAGACATAATGCTATTGCACACTTAATAGACTACAGTATAGTGTAAACATAACTTTTATATGCACTGGGAAACCAAGAAATTCATGTGACTCGCTTTATTGCGGTGGTCTGGAACCAAACCCGCAATATCTCCAAGGTATGCCTGTACATTACTATTAATCAAGAGTTTCCAAAAGGAAAAGAAGGAGAAGAGAGATTAAAATAGTCTAATTGATTGCCTATTGTTCAAATATATACCTGAGAGTTTACTATTCTGTTCATGTTTCTTTTGAAAGTCTTCAGCATGCTGAGGGTGCTGCTCATTCTGATGAGCCTTCAGTGCTGTTTCCATCACAAAGGTATCTGAAAGTAAAATGCCAGGGGCTGAGGGCAGTGGCTAAAGACTCAAGAAAAAATGGGAACAAACAGATACGAGGGATAGTACTCTCCAGTGAGACTTGGGGAAGGTGACCTGGGTAAGTCCTTCACTGCTCACTAACATCAAAATCTCCTCTGATGTGGCCAGAAAGGGGAACACTACCACATGTGGCCAGATCTACCTCTTCTATAGCAAAATGGAGGATGAACAGCCAAATTATGCCTTTATATATTCCTAAGAGCATTTAACAGGCATCAGTATCCTTCCTTAGAAAGGATACTTACTTCAGGGTGGATAAAAATCAACAATTTCTAAAAAACAAAAACAAACAAACAAACAAAAAAACACACAAAAAAACCCCCAACCAACCAAAAAAAGGATTTTTAAAAATTTAAATAAGATTTTTTATTTAATTGTATTTTTGGTTAAGATGCTTTTTAAAAAAAATAAACTTATTTAAAATTAAAACTATCTTTATATATGTTAAAGCTCAAAGATATAATCATGGAATAGGGATTATAACTTATAATTATATACTATTTGATACAAAATATCCATGTAACTTTTTAAAAAGTTTTATAAATAGGTAACAACAGACTGTGGACTATATTGGGGCTCAAGCTTATGGGGCTCCCAGAGGCTCCTCTACAGATTAGTAAAGATTAAACAAAAATCACTCTACCCAATGGGACTCAGTGCTCAGTCTAAAACAGTGATCCACTGGTTGGTGACCTCAATCCACCAGTAGATCTCGGAGTCTCTTGTGGTAGATCTTGGAGCCTCTTGGAGTCCATACAAGCCTGGGGTGGGGGGCTGAGTGCCCATATGCATGCATGTGCACATACTAGCCCAACAGGTCAGTCTGTGGGGGAGGGAAGGGGCGAGGGCTAGATCAAGGCGCCCTGCAGTGAGGGACAGTGCCAAAGAGGCAGGAGCAGGGGTAAGTTGAGTGGGCCTCAGCTGGGTGGGACTTGGCTGCTGGGGAGGCATGCCCCCCCCCCAAATAATTTTTTCCTCCCTCTGCCTTGATCTGCCCCCCCCTTCCCTCCTCACAGACTTAGTTGCTGGGCAGGAAGAAGGGGGCAGTGCACAGTAGATCTTGTATTGCTTTTAAATGCCAAAGGTGATCTCCTACTTAAAAGTTGGAGACCACTGGTCTAGAAGATCCCATTAAGCATCTCTGTGATGCTTAGTTTCAGTTCAAGCTATGGATTTGTGTCTCCCGAGATCTTAAGTAGACAAGGCTCTTTGGGTAGATGTGATATCTTTTATTAGACCATCTACATAGTGGGAAAAAGTGTTCTTTGCAAGGTTTTGGGCACAAATGCTTCTTCAGGCATAGGGAGAGTTTGTTGATCCCAGAAATAACATCCTTGCTAACAGCAGTATATGGAGATGAGACAACAAACCTGATTCCCCACCCACAAGCCCTATTGTCTCTGTGCAAGTTCGTGTACACACAGTCAAGCTCTTACCCTTCTCTAAAAGTGCAAAGTTTCAAGAAATTAAATGAATAAAGGATATCAAACAACCAGAATGCAGTTTTTGTAGACAGCAATGATTAAATCTAAGCTTCCTGACCAGTGATTTAGATCAAGTTTACCCTAGTAGATAGCCCTGCACCTTCTGCCAGCAAGGAAGGTCCCTTTAGTGGCTGTGCCTATCCAAGGGAGTCCTTTGCATTCTGCCAGCACAGATGAGTCAGCGGAACCGCCTGAACTTGGGAGGTGCCGTACAGCTGAGCACGAGCCCTGCAGCAGCTGTTCTCAGGTGCTGGTCGTTCCAGGGGCAGAGCAGCCGGGTGTAGATAAGCCCTGACATTGGATGAGGAGCTTGGAAAAGAAGATGGGAGCCAGGGCAGACAGCAAACAGGCAGGGAACAGATGAGGAGTTGGCCAGGCACCCTGCTCGAGCACAACTTCAAATGGCCAAATAATGAGACAGGGAGTCTGACAAAGCAGAGCTAGGAGTTGCTGGGCAGAGACTGAGCACCCGGAGGGCTGGAGACAAGGAGGAGCTGACAGAGGAAGCACAATTTGAAAAGGAAACCAGGGAGTGTTCAGAGGGAGGGGAGAGCATCAGCTGCACGAGGGAAAGAGGGCTGCTGCTTATTGCAGCTGACAAGAAAAGCAAACCGCACAAAGGGGGATGAGGCTGGGGCAGAGGCTGCGAGTGCCCAGTTCAAACACGCTGGGGCAGGTAGTATTAACACCTTCATCCCGGAAGGGGAAACACTTGTTTGATCTCAGACTATTTCCTCTTGCGTCCAACCCGGGCCTGGCCAGCGCGGCACGGACACGTGATGGGACTTCGCGTGGGGCAACAAGGCTCAGCAGTACCCGGAGGCGAGCAGGGCAGACGCTAGCAGCGCGGGAGGCTCCCAGCATAGGGACAGGCCAGACCCCCGTCCTGGCACGCGCGCGGACCGGAGCGGACAGAAACCGCCCGGCCTGTCCCCGGCCCAGCGCCCTCCCCCTCGCCCGCCGGATCCGGGCCCCTGCGGCGCCGTACCAGCTTCCCCGGGGCAGGGGCAGGAGCGGGCACGAGACTCACGGCGGCTCCGCGACGCGCTCGGCTTCTTGCTGCTGCTCTTTTTTCCGTTTGCCTGCTGCCGCCTTTTGCCAGCGGACCTCCAGCAGCCAATCCCTGCGCTTGTTAGAAGCGACTAGCCGGAACGGGGGTAGCGGCCATGAGGAAGCAGGGCTGCCATTGGCCAAGGCCCGCGGGAAGGGGCGGGCGCCCGGAAAGCTCGGCTCGCGCTCAGCGCTTCGTCGCCTGACGTCAGGAGCCGTGCGCTTTCTTACTGTGGAGTGACGCGCGCGAGCCCTTGGGCTGCAGCTCGGGGCCTGCCCGGCAGGGTCTCCTGCGTGCCCCGTTGCAGCTTTGCATATGGGCGACTGGTATCGCCTTAGGAGGGGACACGTGCTCCCCCCTGCAATCAGTCCTGCAACCTGGGGGGATCTACCTCTGGCCGATCTTGCCACCCAGGCCCCCCCCCGCAGCCAATCCCGAGACGGCCGATCGTAGCTGCTTCTGGGAGTGCTCCCGCTGCCTAAGCAGGGAGCTTGGCCAGTCAGGGTGTGCACTGGCACTCTCGGGGTGCACGTGCACCCGCTACATGTCACCATTGGCTGCAGAAAAGGACCTGGGGGTTACAGTGGACATTAAATTGTATATGAGCCAGCAGTGTGCCCTTGTTGCCAAGAAGGCTTATCAGTGATCCCTCACAGTCAAGGATGATCACTCCCACTGGTCAAGTAAAGGGTTATAGATAAATGTTGGGAATGTTCTCCTACTCACCTTAAACCAGCAGGAGAAGCCTGTGCCTGACTCCTTTTCTGAGAGAAGGCTGTTGCTCATTGACAACCACAGGGAACTCGGTGGAGGAGAAACCTGTGATGAGAAGATCCAAGACACCTGGGGTTACTCTTCCACTGCAGCCTACATCTACCTTCACAGCTGTTGAGAAGCACGCCTTCTGCATCTGCCTGCTCCACAGTTGAGGTCTTTCTGTTGTGTTGGACTGCTGTTTGTCTGATGCCTAACCTTTGACCTTAGTGCCATAGGTGACCCTACCAGGAGTACAGGACTCCTGACAGTGTGACAGTGTTGTTTTTAGTCATCTAACTGTACATGCAAGTCTCTCCACCCCATCAAGGTGGCCGTCCATGGAGAGGAACAATGAGGCTGATGGTGATGTCAATCTCTAGGGAGGGGTGGGACTTCTGGGGCCTCTTGGCCAATCAAAGGCATGGGGGGCCCTCTGCGCTCTGCTGTGACAATGGTGCTGGGTGCTGCACGCAACCTGTGAAATAAGAGTGCATCACCCGGAATTCAGTAGGTCCCTACTTATGAGGAGAAGCTGAGGGAACTGGGTTCATTTAGTCTGGAGAAGAGAAGACTGAGGGAGGATTTAACAGCATACTACCGGAAGGGGGGTTCCAAAGAGGATGGAGCTGGACTGATTTCAGTGGTAGCAGATGACACAACAAGGAACTATGGTCTCAAGTTGCAGCAAGGGAAGTTTAGGTTAGCTATAAGGGAAAACTTTCTCACCAGGAGTGTAGTAAAGCACTGGAACAGGCTACCCAGAGAGGTTGTGGAATCTCTGTCCTCGGAGGTTTTAAGACCTGGCTAGATAAAATCTTGGCCCAGGATGATATGGTTAGGGATGGTCCTGCTCTGAGCAGGGGGTTGGACTAGATGACCTCCAGACATCTCTTCCATCCCTAATTTTCTGATTCCAAGATCCAAGAGAGAATGTACATAGTGAGGCTGTCCATAATCTGAAGCTATGTTCTGTGCAAGCCTGGAGCTCTCAATTCCAGGCAGATTTTGCTGTATACAGCAGGCCACCACCCTTATAGCTTTTATTCCTTATGTGCAGTGACTGAAAGATAATCACAACCTGTGCATCAAATTGTGCCTTCACTTGCACTGATGTATAATCCTTAGACAGCCCCTGTGATGCTGAAATTATTCCAGATTTACTCCAGTAAATTTTGCTTCCTGTCTTATTTTACTATTTAATTATATAGCAGAGAACATTGCAGAGAACAAAGAATCAAAAAATACCACAAAATTAAACAGCTTTAGACTTTGGTATATATAGTAGTCACTAGCCAGCATCCATAGCATAAGCAGATACAGGAGGATCATCCTAGCAGTAGGAGGTTTTGTGTAGTTGCAGAGAGTGTATCTATACAACCATTTACCTGCTATTAGTGTAAAGGACATAACTGGAGGGAAGGGTACATGGCCAGGATATGTTTATACCTAATGAATGATTGCTATTGATCCCCTGCACGTTAGAGTTAAGAGCATAGTTAGCTGTGGAGGTGATTAAATGCTTCAGCGTTGCGCTATGTATTCTTTAACCTGGCAGTAATTTTGGGCCTGTATATTCTGTTTTATGTCAGTGACCAGGGCCAGGAAGAGAGATTGAAATAAAAATAAAAAAAATAAAAATTCTAATCTTATTTGCATTGATGCATTCTAGCTGAAGTCAGTAGAGAGGTATATTGTAAATGAAAGAAGGATTTAGCTCTTAGATTTCTTTTATCTATAACTTTTTTTTTTACCATAGCCTCTTTTTTTTGTACTTGTAATCAAAACTGTGTGTCCTGCAGAGGATTAGGCCACCAGCAGTTTGATACACAACTCTCCTGCTCCTTAGACCATGAAAAGGAACATTCTGTTTATTGTCTATACCATGCAGAGGACGTTAATTTTATCTATTGTATCCTGTGCAAAGGTTGAACCTAGAAAAGTTCCTTGGGCAAAGTTGTAGCACAGTCATTACAGTACGGTAAGCTTAAACTAAAAAAATTCTGAAATTTAATAACCCCCCCATATTCTACCACTGTTATTCATACTGAGTAGTCCCGTGCTCTACAAATAAAATCATAGAAAATAAGGATTGGAAGGGACCTCAGGAGGTCATCTAGTCCAACCCCCTGCTCAAAGCAGGACCATCCCCAACTAGATCATTGTTGAGCCCAGCCTCTAAACCTCCAAGGATGGAAATTTCACCACCTCCCTCGGTGTAACCTGTTTTAGGGCTTCACCACCTTCCTAGTGATCGTTTTTTCCCAATATCCAACCTAAACCTCCCTTACAGCAACTTGAGACAATTGCTCCTTGTTTTGTCATCTGTCACCACAGACAAATAGTTCCTTTGCAGTTCAGAAAGGGAGGATGGACAGTGCCTTTAAACCTTTTCTGTGTTCCCCCGTTTTCTCTTATTACTCTAACTTATACTACCCGCCTACAGTCCCAAAGAACTGTTACAGCAGGTAGGGATCAACAGAACAAGAGTAAAGATCATTATATCTCAATTGTCTGAACTAAGGGTGAAAGCATTCAAGAACAAATTATAGGAAAAGTTAATAAAATGAAGAATAACGTGAAGGAAAATAAATCACAGGCCAATCTGTTCTCTCTTACATTGATGTAATTGTATGAGAGTTAGTTGGGTTGTGTAGTTGTAAGCAAGAGCAGGATTTGTTTCAGTATTTTTATTTTAATAGATAAAAAGTGGTATTTAAAATCATATTATCTGTGACAGCCCTCCCATATTTGTTTCTAAGGTGTGCAGTATCACAGTGTTATCTTGCTAAAGTAATGTTTGTTGAAAACTACTTCAAGTATTTTCTTTGTCTGATTACTTTTATCTACCCCTTCACTCCAGTCTTTTCTTCTGGTCATTCCAAATCTTAGCCAATCTCTCTGATCTGTCTTCCTAGACAGCTTCAAAACAATTTTAATTACTATGGCCAAAAATGAACTCCCTGCCACTCAAGATTTATAGATAATCTCAGACTCCCAAGGTATAATAAATTCCTTCTTTTCATTTACCTTCCCGTTCAGGCTATATCTAAGTTTTCTGTGTTTCCCAGCACAATACCTTAATTTGTTCTGTCCCAATGCCTAAAATCCCTGATCATCTCCTGTTTTGACTCTTCATCTTCATGATGACTGGCTTTCACATCATATCCTTGAGGTTCATCCTCTTGACATCCAGCCAGAAGTTAGCTGCTGAAATGGTCTTGCCTACTGATCTAATCACATCACTCTCTTGCAATCTCTGTACTAGTTCCGCCTTCCCCAGCACATCACATTTAAACCTGTCTTCATCCTCAAGCTCCTGGATAATTGCATCTCTGTTTTATCTAATGTCATTTCATTTTACCACCTACCACTTCCTGCTTTGCCAAAAGTCTTGGTATCCTTTTTCCTATGCTCTGCAATTGGTATTTCCCATGCTTCTGGGCTTTGCTGATCTTTCTCTGCCTTTCTCCTACATATATCAGGGTGTTTTTAACCCATCTTCAGAGGCACTGGGTGTTGGCTGCAGCCAAGGCTGGGAATTTTGACTGGGGTGTGCCAGTGGAGGTTCTTGGCTAAGGGGTCTTGCCCCTACACTCAAGGTCAGACCAATAGCCATATTTGGGGTTAGGAAGGAGTTTTACCCAGTGGTCAGATTTGTATGGACTGTGGGGGTTTTGTCTTCCTCTGTAGCAGGGGGTGTGGCCTTCTACCTGAGATCTCTTAAGCATGTATTAATAATCCTGCTTCTATAGAAGCAGGATGTTGGCTGCTGCAGTTCTCCTGCTTTACCTGTGGCAGAACAGGGTAAATTTTTGCTAAAACTAGAAGGAGCCCCCTGCCCTTTTCTTTGTGCTTGGACAATGGAGCAGACTACCAGAACTCTACCAGCTAAGGACTACTGCTCCTTAGCTGGTATAGAGAAAGCTCCAGTTTCTGTTTAAATCCCTCAGACTTAACTGTCCATATTAGCTAGGAACTCAGAAAAAAGAAACTGTACCATTCAGGTATGATAAAAAGGCAACATGTTCAGCATTTCTCAATCTGTGGGTTGCGACCCAAAAGTGGGTTGCAAGAATATATGAAAGGGTCTCAAATAAATTTTAAAAATGGATCCTTCTTTAAAGGAGAAAAATATGGGGACATGTGGCTTTTCCCTTGCAGGGTGACAGAGTTCCAGCCTGTGAGGGGCTACTTGGGGGGGCCCCCCATACCCCACTTCCTGCCTCTCACACAGGGGGCAGGGGACAGTGGTTCAAGAGTGAGGTCACTGGGTCAGGACTGGCTATCAATGTTTACAAATGGGTCCTGGAACAAAAGAGGCTGAAAACCACTCT